GGTACTGACAAAAAATGAAGGAAAATATATATAAAGACTCTGTCATCCGCGTTCATTTGACCAATCATCGGGCTTTTTATTTTACTTTTTGTCGTCGTTTTTCTAAGCTGCTCAAAATAAATCAGGTATTTTTCTGAAATTTAGATTCACTGTTTCACTTCTACCAGCCAGCGTTTAAAACAGCAAACAACCATCTGTTTCACAGTCAAAAACTGTTAACATGAGTCTGCAATAATCAACAGCAGGTCTAGTTAGGCTACAGAAGCAAAACAACAGTGAGTTATGATTTCTTTAAAATAAAGTTCTTAAGAAAAATAATATTTTTATTTAAAATGATTTATAACATTATTAATTACCAATAATATTAAAATCACACAACTGAAACATTTGGGTCACACTCATGTTTACCTTTCTGTCTTACTTTTACTTTGTGCTGTGAAGCTTCAGTGATTATAAGTTAACCAATTCAAACATTTGAGTTGGTTTGTAACACATGACAGCAGTAAGCTTCAGCCCAAATGATGGCATAGAGTCTGTTTTGTATTGTGTGCTATAGTGACATGGGGATATGATATATTAATTATTCTTTCTGAGTTAGCTGGCTGCCGCTCCAGTCCTTCCTGGTTCGGGTGAAAGCGGAGGCTGAGGGTGGAGCTGGTTTAAATGCAGAGGCCAATAAAATGGACTGAACCATCTGCTGTGACCACGCAGGGGGGAACGGGGTTCTTCTCAAATTATGGTTCGCTATCATCTCTGTGGTTTTCACCTTTGGTGTACACATGGTTCATTCGCTTGCAGGTCAGTTCGCTGAGTTGTGTTTTGTTAAGTTGACCTCTTTTATGGGCTCACCTGGTTCTTAAAACAGCTTGTTTTTGTCATTTTTGTAATAATTTTGTCTTTTTGGGGGTATAAAAAAAAACCCTTTTTTGTTTTTGAAGATTACGGCTGTATGTTCTGTTAGTGCCCTTCATCACACATGAACACTTCTTTGCGTTCTCTCCATGAATCCTATTTGTTGAGGTAAAACGTTGTGCAGTATAGCACCTTTGGACACACCAGGTCACAGGGAATTGGTACACTTTGTTTGTATCTGTTACGCAGAGAGGTAAGGGAAACATCAGACTTCACTCTATCTTAACTGAAGTAATTGGTTTACTGTCTCTTGCCAACATCATGCACATACAGACAGCAACTTCTCAAAATGGCCCCCAATCCATTTCCTGCTCCCTTTAAATACTCTAAAAACCACGCCTTCTCAATACAGACTGGCCTATAAAAGAGCTGCAATGGCCACCACAGAGGTAACCTGCAAAACACTTTGTTACATGAATGCTTCCCAGCAGTATCATGGACTTTTTCTGCTTCTTGAGGGCAGATTAAATAAAAAGCTTGGAATATTTCACACCAATTGCAAATAAAGATGCCATTTTACCAAACATCTCGGCTCATCAGTTACAATTTCGTAAGTCTACAAAACTCTGAATTCTCTGCAAAGAACAAAATGCAAAACGCTTCTGAAGGTTGCGACTCCGACAACGTTAAGAAAATAACTAAAGGTAAGCCTTTGCATTGCAGAGCTGGACTGGTTGATTTTCTGAGTGGCACAACACTCCTTTGTGAAAACAAGATGAACAAATACAAAAGAGCTCGGACCTTCTCGTGGTGTAATTTACAAATCTGTAATATTAGTAATATTAGCTGAGTGAATTCCAGTTTGATGTTGCTTTGCTGTAAAATCTGGACTCCATTTAAAAAAATAATTTACAAGGTAAATTTGGTAATGAGTAAAGCAATAACAGATAAAAACGTCCCAGCGACTACCGCTTTTTCTTTTCATTGCACCCTGTTATTCTGTGTGATTCAGAGGAAAGCACAAACTCTGCTCGTTTCCCCAATTTTTGTCAAGTGTTACCAGGTGTTGGTTGAGACGTATTCTGGGTAGGACAACCGAATGTCTATGCTTAAAATTAGCCCTTTATTGTGCGTGTTTTTCATGTAGAATGAGTCAGAGCAAAGAAAAGACAGATTTAACTCTGTATACACCGTCCTCTAACTGCAAAGAGCTGAAAAGAAATGTGGGCAGTTTAGCCGAAGTGAGAAAACCATTGATTTTCACATGTTTGTATGAACCTGTATTCAAAATCTATGAATACTGCACTTCCAGGATTGAATGCCTACATGTCTGTGGATCACGTGTGAGCTGTCGGGAACGCCACAAGTGTCACGTCAAAAGAGAAAGGAGACTGAGATAAAAAGCCAAACAGATTTGCAGCCATTCAGTACAGTGAATGTGACTGGCTGACCTTTTGTGTGTCCTCTCACAGGCCTTCAGGAGCGAGTTCTTCCACGGACACTCCTGTGAACAGAAACAATGGCAGAAGCTGAGCACAAAAAAATGTCATTTTCTCCCACTGCCATCTTTCACATCCCAATTCATTCTAATGTTAGAAACTAACTGTAGCAACTCATATCCATAATAAAGGAAAACCTGAGATTTTCTTAATGACAAAGACAAACGTAAGAAGTAGAACATTATTTCAGATGCGTGTGAAAGCCAAAGGAGATCCTTTGATTAAAATTCCTTTCTGATGTTTTGGAAGCACTTGACCTTCAATTGGCGTAGTGAGCTCCAGCACAACATTCACTTAGCTCACCGATGCCTCGATCAATTCTCGACAGGTTCAAAAGACTCCGAGTCAGCCTTTCATCAGAGTTCATTCAGCCGCCTCCCTTAATGACACCTTGAGAAATTCCTCAGTAAAGCTGCAAACAGACTCTGCTCTTCTTTCTACAGCTGCTGCAGGCCACACAGTCAAGTGTATGATGAAGACTGCATTTCAGATTTATTATGGGGAGAATGAGAGAGGTCGATAATGTACGGCCGAGCTTTTATTCACAAATTAGAGAAGCTGGGTAAGCGGTGTACTAACCGTGTGTGCAATTAAAATGAGCTTTCCAGTGTTCTACAAATAAGTTGAGTTCCCAGTCGTCTACTGAAAGAATAACGTCTCGGTCACGCAGGCGTAGCGATTGGTTGCCATCAGATACTAGGGAAAAACGAGTATTTCCTAACCTGTTGCTAAGCCCCTGTAACACAGACTGGTAACCACTGATTACAGAGTGCTGAAACAAAAACTCCATGCACTTCCTTTGGTTGCTGGCAGATTGCAGCAATTGTCCACAGACTTGAAAGACGATGAGCGGTCTGCAAACACTTGTAAGCTGCTTGCTAAGAAACTGTGATATTGTAGAGTGCAACGCAAACCAGAAACTGACTTCACCTTTAAAGTAAAAGTTGTGCCGTGTGCTAAAACCAGCTTGTTTCTAAAGGTGCCACTTTTACAAAGCAGATAATTTGGCAATTTCCACGCAAACTATAGGAAACACCTATAATCTGCTAATGACCAAAGCAATCAAAAGGAGGTCTTTGCAACCTACTTGGCCCAGCAGCCTTCACCAGCCAGTTGGGAAAAAGACATTTCTGTTGGTTGCCAGGGGTTAAACCACTGGTCTGTAGGCCAAAGTCACTGAGACCTACAACTTAACTAACAAGAAAAACATCAACGGGCAATGTCAAACGCAATGCCTGCTGCCTGGGTCTGCATACGGTTTCAGCTTGTTCAGGCAAATTTATTTAATAGTGTAAAATGTCATCAGCACTATGACCTGGCTTTGGGCGGCTTTGGCAGAGTGCCCGTGAACATCCGCACAGAAAGCATTTATTCTTCTGGGTTTTCCTCCGCATACATTAGTTGCACATCCATCCATTAGTGTTTCCCTTGATGGCTGCAGCAACACTTTCCTTGTCGACCAATAGAGGCTGCTTCAAACTATAATGGCATGAAAATAAATCTTTCCACCGGGTCTGTTTAACGTTCACGAACATGAAACTTTCATGAACAAACGATTACATCAGGGAAGTGAAAACCAATATTGCTGACAGCTGCGCATCCATCAGTGGTTTTGGACTTTACAGACATGTTTTCTCGGGTCTTTTTGGGTCGCATTAGAGTTTCTGTTTTCAGTTGCATTGTGTAAATTAGCATTGGCGAGTGACCGCTCTACATCCAGAACTTGTTTGCAGCAAGCCTTGCTCTCAGGCTACTGTCGAGGGTTTCCAGGATGTTTGCTTGCCTTGGATTCTTGGCACAACTACAGAAAAGTGTGTAAGAGAAATCTTTGGGTTATATTCTGCACACTCGCTGTGACAATGATGTCCACATACCGTGTTTTTCCATTTGATTCTCTGTGAAAATTGGCTGGCCTTTTCCTGACATGAATGATAAAAACTTTGCTGCGAACACCAGCTCTCCTTTTTCCCCATTAGACAACGTTTAGTTTGAATGTCACGCCACTCTTCGATTTGGGTTAAAGGCCAGAAATGAAGTTTTTTCTCACCTAACGTTGCTAAACTTGCTTCGGAGCTGCCCCTTGAAGTGACAGCACTAATAATAAGAGTGCCACAAAGCAGTGGCCATTATACATATTAAAGCAGATAGAATGAGGACAAGACGCAGTACAAATCCTGTATATTCAGGATCAAAACAGAAACAGTCTTTTTTTTTTCCATCACAGCTAAAAATAATGCTCAGTCCATTATTGAACCAAGTATAACAGGAAACAAACAGTCCTTTTAAGCCCCTGTAGAACCACTCGTCTATTTTATATTTCAAGAGAGCTAAATGAACTTTGCTGACTTTGTATTCTTTAAGAAAGCATCGAGCGGAGGTCAGCAGTGGCATGCTTTCTCTGTTCCCCTTTCCCTTTAAAGACAATGACCTGACCAGCAGGGCAGCTTGGCTGGAGATGAGAAAGTAGTTATTTCCAGCAGCCTCCTCATTTATTTGTGTACGTGTTTTAAGAGACCCAAAGCAGCAAGCCGAATGCCTGGGTACCATGCTGATAAAGCAAGAAGGGTACTTTGCACTTTACGCAGGGCCCCTCGGTGACTACAGAGGAAGTATGGGGCTGGGGGGCACTCGGACAGGGGGATAAGGGCTCTAAGCCAGACGGATACACTCGGGTGGATAACATGTCTTTAATGCTACTGATGGACTGCCCAACTGGCGCCCTGGATAGCTGGCAACACGCCCAGCGTTCTTCCACTGGCTGAGCTGCTGTATAGCTTGGATGACTGTTGGGAGACAGAAAGGGAAAGTCAGGGGTGACAGACAGGCAGACCGCAGACAGAGGCCAAAGGCAAAGACAGACTGCAGACGAGGGGAATCGATGACAAACCGGGTGGAGGCCACTGATTCGCACAGAGGTTATTGCTCGTATGTGAGTATTCAGCTCACACAAAAGTATATCTCGTGTCAGGTATGTTTTATATCGATGCAACGCAGCAGTCGGTGTGCCAATATACCTTTAGATATATCTGTGTACAGGTGGGAGTTCAATCCAACCAAACCTCTGATGATGTGTGACAGAGCAGGCTGGCTGATAAAATATACAAAAGAGTCAAAATAAAAGTCAAAATCATCAGGATACTGTATCTACATGTAAAGGTGAAGTTTTTGATCAGCGACATGGTCTCTGATGATTAGCCATTCCACATGACTTCATACCCTTCTAGCCACTGAACTGCCCAATGCAAAGCTCTGCTGACTGTCCTCAGTTGCTGCACATCTGTAAGCCACTTTTCAGTGCACCTTAGCATCAGAGAAGCTTGAACCCGTTCCTGGAAAGAAGGACATCTGGAATACCCTATTTACTGCTGCTACAATGGATACTAATGGTATTTTTACATGGAAGCATCTTCTACCACCCAATCCACCCTTTTCCCCACCCAACTTTATCACAGCAGCAAACAAACTCCATGCTCCTGATTTCCATTAAAGATCCTGCACAAAACCAGCCTGTTAGAAGAGGCTAAAGGAAGCTACACGATCACTCAGCTGCCAGAGCTCGCACTTAATGTGCTCAGTCGGCCTTGAGCTGCAGTCTGAAATAACAAATCGGAGACAAATTGGAGGGAAAATATAGGTTTCAGCGCTTTGAATGCCATGTATCAATTGCCTCGGCTCGAGTGAAACAAGAACCAGTGAGGCTTACTGCGACAATGTCAAACATTTCAGCTTTCAGCAAAAATATGAGTTTGTTATGGTGCAACACTTATCTTAGTGCAGACTGGTCTCTGCTTCTGCGTAACAGCCAGCATCACAGTACTACTGACAGTACTGACGTACTACTGGACAGAGTGAACAGCTGAAGTAAATCAGCATATCATGACGCACACTCCATTTTTATATAGCATGGGGAATTTTTTCATGATTAACTACCCATTCCTTAATTTTCCCTAAACCACTTATTTATAGAGAAACTGACCTTAAAATGATCACCGAGCAATTTGAATGCATGTAGATATTTAACACATTTCACAATCTGATCATTTTCACTGTCAAAAGGCTTCTGCTGCATTCAAAGGTCTGAATTTGTTCCATTTTTGTGTATTTACATATTGCCAATATTAAGCACATATTTTTTCTGCGTCTGGAAATGTTCTCGACGGCTCCAGTGACCCTTGACCTCCCGCTAGCTATCGAGCAGGTGGGTAACAGACGTCTCCTGAAAACGTCGGCGCGCTTTTACAAATATGTGGTGTCTTGATAAACTGAGCAGATATTTGAGAGTTCCACAGCTACACTCACCTGAAAATATGCTTAAAAGTTTATTTTGTGACCCAGAAAGAATTAATAAGAGTAATATTAAAACCAAGTAGCTGTCGCCAGTGTTGGAAACTGAGCTGGGCAGCGCTATGAATTCTGGGATAGGTTGGGCCACGAAGGATACACCCGACCCATCCTTCAAATCTGGGGAAATGAAGGGCGCATTTGTGGGCCACATTTGGAGGAGTCTTCGAATTTGGACAGTCCTCGTGATGTAATCGGCCTACAAATGCAGCCTCCAAAAGATGCGGCCTCTGAATTTGGACACAGCTTCGATACCGGAACCAGCTTCTTCTTGGTGTTTAACGGCAGCTGGCATCCTCGTACATGCAGTGCTGCCATCTTCTGTTTCAGTGCGTTATTACACTCTTAAATCCTACTACTTATTCCTGCGTCTTTTGGGATCTTACAAAGCCTCAAACGACGCGTCGACTATTAAATTAGTCGTTGATGATTTTGATAGTGGACGTAATGGTGACAGTCCTATTATACATACGTAGCTTTTTTATGTCTACTTCAGTACTTGTGCGTGGTGAAAGCTAGTAGCTACTACTAAAGCCACTGAATGTAACTTCTACAAATGATTAGTAAGACTGAAAACCTGATGCCAAAGAATACTACAACCTTTAAAAAAGTTCCTTTGAATTTTGAGGTCTAAGTGTTCTGCTAGTCTACAATAACCATGCACAGTGACTTAAGGGTGTAGATACTGTCTGCTCAGCAGTCTTTAGCTTCCCTGACGAATTTGATGTTATTTTCCTCTTATAGAAAAAACGCTGCACGCCGTGTCTTTAACATATTCTGGTTTCAGCTTCCACAACGATGAACCACAGGCCAGAAGGTTCAAAGACCCTTAGACAGCCTATTTCACATTAGTTTAGTGCAGCGTAAGTGCTGTTGGTGGTATTTTATAGTGGGTTTTTTTCATTTAAGCACTGATTAGTTATTATGGTGAAATATATTTCAGGTGAGATTGAAGTAATGACAGGAAGAGATTCTTAGTTTGTGGTTTTGGCGCTTCCCTTCATGGGCGGGACCACACTCCAATAACTCCCGTCTCTCCAGAATGTAAACAGGGCATGTTTAGGAATGAATCCGATGATACCTGCTGCTCCACATGCCAACACGCAGCTTCCGTTGAAATTATTTGCTTATGACCGTCCAATCGGCAGGAAACTTTATTTAAATTGGGAAGAATAAATATACTACATACAGTCAGCTCTAACAGGACGGACTGTTTATAGTTGGAGGGCTCTTAAGGAAGTCAAGCTGTGTTTAGATTAGAAGACGTTTCGACTGCACAGTTATTTAATAAATAAACAACGGCGGTTCAGGGTCTTAAATTCTGTTTTCTGTTTGCTTCAACATCCTTTAAGTGGTCTGGTTAAGCATTTACCATATATTATAATAAACTCCCATCCCAGTATAGATCAGGCACGTGTTTGTATTTGTGTCAAACTGCAGTTTCATCTTAGGTAAAGCAGTGCAGTTCTTTTTTATTTCTTACTAAAAAAACAAACCACAAACAAGAGTCATGTTAAAATGATGATATCTTTATAATTTTATAAGATATTTCAATATTTCATTTGTGTGCATCTGGAGAAAAACTGAATGTGATGAAACAGTGGTCAGATGGCTAACGGTGAGGGAATCTTGCAATGTTAAGACAACAGCACAGCACATATTGAAAAGGTGTTAGTGACAGTGTAGGAAAACAGATGCATCACAGGGTTTAAAATATGCTAAATATTAACTTAAAGTTTGCAATTACTTTGTGGAAAAGATATGCATATAAGCTCCAGTCACAGGTGGAGTACTCGTGAACACCACCAAATGCTAGACTGTACCGTCTGGTTGGGGAAGTCACTGCCCCTTGCTAATTCTCTCTCTGATACTGTAAGCAACTTAGGTGTTTTCCTGGACAGTTCTTTTAAGCTTGATAAACAAGTGTCCTCCGTAGAAAAATCTAGTTTTTACCAACTAAGTCAAATCTCTAAGGCTAAGCCTTACATACCGCGCAAGGATCTTGAAAAACTTATCCATGCCTTTGTTACTCCTAGATTAGACTACTGCAACCCCCGTTACTTCAGCCTCCAATCTGTCCTTCTTCATAGACTGCAGCTCGTTCAAAAGGCTGCGGCACGCCTCTTAACGTGAACTGGAAGGTTTGATTCTATCACTCCACTTCTTGCCAACCTACATTGGCTTCCCATCAAACACCGTATTGTTTTTAACATTTTATTGCTTACTTTTAAAATCATAAACAATATTGTGCCTAGCTACCTTATTGCACTCCTCAGCCTGTATACCCCTAGGAGAATGCTAAAATCATCGGACCAATTCCTCTTGGTGCAACCTAGGTCCCAGTGGGTGATCGTGGCTCAATAGTTGGCAGATTGTCTTGTAATCAGAAGGTTGCCGGTTCGAGCCCCGGCTCGGACAGTCTCGGTCACCCGGACAGTCTCGGTCTCTGGTGGTCAGAGGGCCCGGTGGCGCCAGTGTCCGGCAGCCTCGTCTCTGTCAATGCGCCCCAGGGTGGCTGTGGCTACAATGTAGCTGCCATCACAAGTGTGTGGATGACTGGATGTGTAAAGCGCTTTGGGGTCCTTAGGGATGAGTAAAGCGCTGTACAAATAAAGGCCATTTACCAGCTGAAGACCAGAGGTGGCCGTGCCTTTGCTTTAGCCACACCCAACCTCTGGAACAACCTTCCAGCCGCTATTCGTGCATCTGAATCTATCCAATCTTTTCAGTCGCGATTGAAAACATATTTATTTAACCCAGCATTTTCAGATAGTTAGTGTTTGCACTTTGCAACTGCACCTCAATGTAATTTTGATTTATATTATTGTACCGCTGGAATAACCTTCCAGTTGATATTTATGTGTATGAATTGATTTAATTCTTAAATTATGTTCTGATACTTATTTATTTAACTTACTGGTTAATTAGTGCCTTCCACCTGTCAGTGTATTTTGTACTTTGCTATATGTAATTTAATTTTAATTTATTGTACTATTGAGAAGCACTTTGGTTTTTAAATGTGCTATATAAATAAAGTTGTATTGTATTGTATTTGGTTCTGCAAAACTTTGCTTTTATTTATCACTAGTGAAAAATAAAAGCTACATTTTAGCTCAGGAGGTGGCACCATATTGGAGATGTCCGACAATCACTCCGCCCTCCTTCACCTGCCCTCCACCCTCTGCAAACATGTGAAAACAGAGCCTTTACACATAGAAGCATTATAAAAAAAGTTTGACTTTGAAAAAACGTCCATGACGAGGATGTCCTACTGACAACAACGCTAGACTTAAAAAAAAAAAGTCACCTGGTGCCGTCAGTGGTTTTGTGCAAAAATAGGAGACGTCACTCCGGAGTCACTTTGCGTAGCAAGAGATGCAAACTGGATTGGTTTTGGTGTTTGGACGCATCGTTTCATTGCCTAAAGAAAGACTTGAAATAT